ATTGATTGGAGTTCAAATTCAATTGTCTGTTTATTATTTTCCGATAATTGTGGAATAAAATTAACATTGGTTTAATAGTGCGATCAACATATTATTATATTTGTTCCTTGTACTATCTAATGTAATTTCTATATTACATTAAAGTCATATTAATGTCAATAAATAATAATTGGTTAATTGTTACAATACATTGATATTAGTTAATGTATTCAGATAACGTTTGCGACTGTCTTACCAAATATAATTATTATTTTACATTAAAATGATAAATATATAATAAACATTTTCAAAAATGAACAATGACGCATCTTGCTGATGTTTGAAAAAATGTTCATGGAATGTATAGCGCAAAATTTTCTGCCATAAAAAATAAAGCACAAAGGCATCCACTGATCTATATGTTATAATGTCAAAGAATGCTACTCTCGTATAAAAAACAATTTCTTGCAATTATCAATGCTATCCGTCCTGATACAAAATAACATGATAAACTTTTCTACTATAAGGTCACCTAGAATGTGCACGAATATCTCGTTGAGATATTTAAGATTTCTACGAATAATTTATAACGTATTAATATATATTAATGTTTAATATTAAACATCTAGCTAATCTAGCTTATATTATTACTAACGTGCATTATTAAAAAGACTTTCCAGATAATTCATAAAACTGATAAGAAAAGCTTGTTGGCAAAAAAATAGTCTACCACTCAATTAAAATATTCTACATATATAATATTAAATAAAAAAATTCTCTCTATTCATTAATCAATAAACTCATATTTTTCACGAATGTTGCTCACGGAAGCGAATTTTCCGAAGTTGGTTTTTATTTTCTCCGGAAAAAAAACGATTCACGATAAAATTTTAACGGAAAAAATGTTCCGCAAAAAGATATTTCACTATACATGAGTGGAAATAAAAATCTGTGAGGACTTTTTCGGCACGATTACAATTTATCATTTTCTTCAACGATGCTTTTTCAGCTTCGTTGATTGATCGTTGCAACGCTTGTCATTTTTACCTAATATATTTCCTCCTTTCTATTTCTCACTGATGAAGTTAATCTTGCCTTTGATTAGCTATTAACATATCGTTTTCCAATTTAAAGTAAAACATTACGATTTTTGCTCGCCGATTGTTATACTGTTTCTTTCTTTACTTTGAGATGTATTTATATAAAAATTGAATAAAAAAGTATCATGTAAAAAATTATTTTTAAAAAAAGATTTAAAAAATAAAATTCTTTCTTAATTTAATATCACATTAATTTAATTACATGTTTAATGTCCATAATAAATGTAAAATTACATGTGAAAAATAAAAATTTTTTCCACATATAAAAATTTTAAAATATATAAAATTAATAACAAAAATAATGTGACAAATATTTTAGACATATATTTTGGGTGGTAAAATCCACAGACATCATATTATGCTTTAAAACATTAAAAAATGCAAATTAAAATATATAACTATAAAATTATATATATAAAAAGTAAAATTTTATATATATATATATATATATATATATATATATATAATAGGATTTTTTCAAAAACCGAATTTATTTAAAAGCTTTGTTCGGAGTATCAGCTGCGAGCAAATCCAGTGTTCCAAATATTGCGAAAGAAACAATATAACGAATACGAGAATTTGTTCGCTTCATACGTATATAAATTTCCCGATGATCCCGTAATCGATGCTAAACCCACGTAGCTTTTCAGTAAAACAATCATCATAGTATCAGTCTATTTGGTATATTTTTCTGTCTCTTTCTTTCGCGAGCGTAAATGGATATTTATAAAAATACAGACAGGATTTTTGTTCAACGGGAAACACTATAGGGGTGGCCAATCATCGTCCGCGCGCGTATACACCATCTTTCAAATTAGCATTTCAATTTGCTTTGCAAGTTACAGTCGCGAGTCAAACGAGAACAATCGAGCTGACGTGAGTCGAAGCCGAGTCGTCATCCGCCACCTGACATTTTCGATGCAAAGCCGCCGACAGCGAAGCGGTAAGCGTGACATTTACATACATACATATATCTGGCCCGCAGCGCGCGCGACGTTTGTCGTATCGTATATCTGAAAGCGAATTCACGGTCCAATAATCCTTGATCGCTACTTTTCGGCTGAATCATATCTGAATTTCATCGAAAGTTCGAATCAAATTGGAGGTAAATCCCGAAGTTTACATCGAGAGGAAATTATTAGTTTTAAAAATTAAGGACGGAAAAAATATTTAAATATTAAAAAACAATATTTAATAATACAGAAAATGTTATGTGTTTTACTTAATATATATTATATAATTTTTTATTATTGATATTATCTGGAGAATGATTAATAATATAGAAACCTTATAATATTATATTCGTACTCTTTTTTTCCTTCGTTTTCCTTTAAATAAATATTTTATATTTAGCGATTAAATAATAAACAAATAAATATTATTCAAAGGTCAAGAATATTGATTTAATGAGTATTTTAAACTCATGCGATATTATTCGATTCTCGTTAATTCTACTAATATCTTGATATTATACAATGAAATTTCCTTTTTTTTTTTAAATTCAGTTTTTAATGCATATAGATGAAAAAAACTATTATTTGTGTTTTCACTTTCACTAAGATATTTTTAGTATTTGAAATCTAAACTCACAAGATTTACATTCCTTTGATTTACATTCCTTTAATTGCATGAAATTTCATCAACATTCAATAATAGGAATCTTGGGACTGCAACAGCTGTTCGTTTATCAGTAGCGTCAGCCGTTAATTGTACAAAAACAGCTCGGTAAACAGCAATGTTATATATACATAATTACAATTAAAAATATTTTTCGTAATCATATTATTTTTTGTCATTTTTTTTCATATCAAGAAAACATATTATTTTTAAAATATCGATATTGATAGAATTCTAATTCATTTTTAATGAATTTTAAAATTCTCCTGACAGCAATTAACAGCTTCTAGCAATTAACGTTCAAACGTAAAAATAAACGAATTACATTGGAATGAAAAGAATCTCATTGATAATTTTCAATTTTAATAGAAATGCTTTTTTAAATTTTCATAGGTTAAAATCTTTTTTTAAATTTATTTTCTTTAAAATTTTGAATAGTGTTTGAAAATTTTCTCTCTATGAAAAATGATATAAATTAAATTACAAAATAAAATAAATATAAAGTAAAAGAATTATCAATTTTTATGAAAAATAAAAAATCTTTAGCAATAAATTCTAAAAAGAGAATACTGATTTCATGAAAGTCTCAAATATTCAATTTTACCGACGATTTAATCAAATCTCTCTACGAATAACGATGCCAATTTTTTCGAGAACAAAATGCCAGAAATTGAAATTCGCATGCACTGAGATTTTTAAACATTTTCATCATATTTGGTAACACTCGAATAATGAGTCCATATCTAAACATTATAGAAAAAAAAGTTTTTAAAATAATTAGTGTGAAATACTAATATTTTTTCATATAACGTATATTTAATTTTTTACATAACATATTAAATAATCACACATATAACATATTATATAATCAATGTAATATATGTGGCTATTGAATTATCCAATTTATCATCTAGAAATTTTCGATACTATTTATAAATATTTATGAATGGAAAGCTTCTATATCTCATAAATATAAATGTATGTTTAACATTATTCTCTTCATTAATTTCTAATCTTTCATTTTAATTATACACCTGTTTCTCTATTTCCCACGAAGTTAGAATAAAATATATCGAATTTTTGCAAGAGATTATTATTATTGGCGTGTTTATAGCATGAAATTAGCCTGCATTCTTGATTGCCGCGGATATTTATCTCATAAACAATCGATGTTTATCTCTCGATGTCGTCGTCATCGTAAAGGAGAAATGAGCGAAATGATCGACGGTGAGATATATGACGAAATAAACGTCCAGAATATAAAAGTGACCGAAAGCAGCCGCGAAGCAATCGACGATGTTTCGATCGTTTTAAATGCCTAACTTAAATTAACTGCGCAATGAGAAAGAAAGAGAAAGAGAGAGAGAGAGAGAAATATATACAAGTTCTATATATGGTAACAAAAAATAAATGCACATGAGCCCCATAGGCGTCGCGAATCGTTGCCGAGTGTTATACTATAGCCGTATAGCAGTACGCAATTACTTTGATTGGCGGCCAATTACTGCGACGTGACTAGTTTACTTTTAACGAAAATAAATAATTATCAAAACGTAGCTCTCGAGGAGCACTATTCGCCATTATATTCCCTATCACGCGCGTATAAGATTGGCAGGCATGCAACATTGGTTGCAAATCATCTTGAATTTGTTAATTATCGGTGCCGTCTTTCCTAGTTAAGCTCCAAGTCATGTGTGTGATAAGCATCGAAAGCGAATTCCAAAGTTGACAGAGCATAACACGAGAGAGGCGTCACTAATCCCATGATAAATTATTCAAGATTGTTAATTAGCGAGAAAATATATATGTATATATGTATATATATGTATATATATATATATATATATATATATATATATATATAAAATCCTTTGATAGACTAAACAAATCTACTGTAAGCATATATCACGCACACTCTTCATTTGAGACATCGTATAAAATTTAAATGTTTATTCTTCAATTCGACCTTTAATCGACGATAAATTTAAAATTCATTTTTTGATTCATTTTTAATTTCTGTGTTTATATAAACATATATGTATTTATTTTAATAAGGATAACTCTCCGAGTATCTTTCTAAAAATCTGATCGTAATAATAATTAAAATTTCCAATAAATAAGAAAAATATGAGTTTCCTCGACGTTTTCATCGCACGTGCGGTTCATTATGGAAACAACGGGTCTTCGTTACAAATAGCCGCCGGTATGTACTGTTATCATTAAGAATATGCAGATACGACAGAACAAACCGCAAACTATTCTTAATACTTTCGCATAGAAGGGAAAAAAAAGAGGGAGACTTACCTTAAAGCTCGTTGCGTGGTCTTCATCTTCGATGAGCTTATTCTCTTGTTGCGAATGGTGGTCTTCCTTCTCCGTCTCTCTCTATCCTTCGCACTTGGCTGCTATCCCGGAGATTCGTCGCACGTTGAAACGTATGAGCTCCGATGATCGGGCACGAAAGCAAAACACTGCGAAAGGTTTGTCGCGAACGAAGCAGTTACGTCAACAGTTATTACTTCACTCGCGTAAAAGGATATTCCGCACTCGAGTCACACGCGAAAATCGCACTTAATTAACTTCGTCGATCGCGAAACACCTTGCAAAAGTTACACTCGCATCAGCGTCGACCTTTATCACGACGAGAGATTATCGATACCGCACAGTTCAGTCCTTCCTTTCTAGATCTCTCCGAGTATCTCAACGGAATTGAAGATTTAATCGGGCGATTTGTTCGACGACTCACGTAGATCGGCGATGTCCTTGCATTATCCTTCTCGCTCGAACGATCCGCGAGACAGCTGGATGATGAACGTCTTCACCAAGGCATCGCGAGGTGCAAAGGAACGTCGCGAATTAGATCAGTGGGACTCGCGGGCGACCGAGAAACTTGGATCGCGAGCGGCGAAAGGCCTCGCAAGCTGTCTCCTTCTATCTCTCTCCGCCTCTCCTCATTCTCCTTGCTCCATGTCTGAATTTGCAAAGATTCCCTCGCTCATAATTCCCTTCTGGATCTTATACATTCCTAAAAAAACACAGTCTTACGTAATTTGATTTCTGAAATATCGCGTTGCCTTCGTCCTTAACTCCTGTCTAACCTCACTTTCTTCGGAGGATCCTCTAAAACGCGAGTCGAGGTTGTCTTTCGCCCCGAGACTCGTCCGAATCGACGATGTGGGATCGCACGCGCGAGTCGCCCTCACGCATCACTCGCGTTCGCGGCCGCGTTCGTTGGGTGCGAACGCGACCGAGGAAATCGAGGACGAGACACGGGAGTCGCGCGCGAACATCGCGTTCGAGAAGCCAACTATCTAACCTCGATGCTTTTCGGACGAAAGAAGTCGAGCGAACCTCGTTCTACACTCGCGTACTCTGAATCGCTCCGAATTGAAGTTGGCCGACTGTCGCGGCGTCCAACTGTGCGCGCGCACGCGCGACGTACCGCAGGTTTTTCAAATTTCACTCGATTTATCGAGCCTTTATCCCTTATCGTGATGTTTTCAGCTTCTCGATTGAGATGCGTCCGAAGGAGTCACGGAGAATCCCTTCCTCGAACGTCGCGAAGTCAGCGTTAATCGTAAACTGACACCTGTGGGTCTTTACAAATTTCCGCGAGTAGTTCCCAAAAAAATGTAAATATGGCGGCGGCGGCTCAGTGCGATCTCCGGAAAACCTATCACCTAGAAATCTATCACCTGTTTGCGACGTCGATCCAATCGGAGTCGGGATCGCCGAAAATGCTCGCGAGTCGCGCACCCGAGGTGCGGAAGGTGCTCGGCGACCGCGAGCCTCCTCTGCTCCGGCGCGAGTACGTACGCGAGGACTGGTTTCACGAGACGCTCCCCCGTTCCCGACCGGCCAGACTACTCGGGAGGCGATAGCACGGGACGGCAAGTACCCGGACGGCTCGAGCGCGAGTGAGACAGTGACGTTTCTCGCCGCAGCGAGAGGAGAGCGGCGCTCGCGCTCCCGCGCGCGCGCGCACGCGCGCCAACGAGAGCGCGCGGTGGGTCCCGTTCCACGGAAAGAGGCTTATTCCACCGAGCGCGAGGAAGTACTGTTACTTAGACGCCCGGGGCCCGGGGGGGACCGGGACGACGCGACCCGCGCTGCATGTAATTTCGTGGGACAAGTAGCGACGCGCGCGCTTCTCTCCAAACGAAAAACCTGACTCGACGCTTCCCCCCTCTCTCTCTCTCTCTCACTCCCTTGCTCTCTTTTCCACGCACTGAGAATCACTAAGAATTCAACACGGGACGCGCGATTGTTTTCATCATCGATAAAACGACGCGCGCCGTGTCCTTGTGTTCATACGTACGTCCCAAACGCGACTTACCGACTAGAGAAAACACGAGGGAGGGGAAGGGAGAGGGCGAACGCGGCGCCACTGCGATCTGTAAACAAACTTGGTCTCGCGCGCGACGAATGTTTTGAGTATTCGGTCAACGGAATGTTTACCCTCGCAGCTCCAAGTACGTACGTACGCACTCCCGTAACGGCGCGCGGGACCCGATTCCCGCCCCACCTGTTTTAATCCCGACGACTACACGTGCGGGTGGACGACGGTAGCTCTCGGCCTGCGCCGTCTCTTTTTTCACGACGCGTTCTCGTTTCTCGCGTCGAGAAGAAAACGTTCACGTACCTAAGTGCACGCGTGTGTATGCGTATGTCAGCCTGTCCACAAATCTTGCCCTCTCTTTCTTTCTCTCTCCCGTCCACTAGACTCGTCGCGGAGCGCGCGATACAGTGCGAAAAACGTACACACCGCTCGGCGGTCGCGGCTCGACTGGACGGACCGACCGCCTCCGCGCTGTTCCTCGTCGCGCTCACTCTCGTAACACGCGAGCCGGCGCCCCCGTAACTCGTGTCCGGAGTTAAACCCATAGACGTATAATACAGACTTCACGTTTGATTAAAAAATTGTACAAATTTTTGGAGACAACATGCTTCTTTGTCTATCAATGACAAGAGTTTAATGCGGCAAAAATTTAATGCGTTTGACGTGTTTTGGTCGACTCCCTTCCCCTGCCACGCGTTAGATAAAGACGAACCTACCATGAAAATAAGCTCCCTCTTTCTAAAATATCATGTTGCCGAAACAAAGGAAAGAATGGGAACGCGTTGGTCTACATATTGTACGTTTATGGTTAAACCGCGAACGATAACGAGAGATTTTCTGGAACACGTGCAAATTAAATAACTTACACAGATCGAGGTAAATTTCATCTCGATTGGATTCTGAGGAAAATTTAAAAGCTCCATTAAACAGTGCAAAATTGAAACTGTTAGAGAGCGTCTTATGTATAAAATATAAATGTCAAATGAAAAACGGTTTTGAGAATTAAAGGCAATTCTTTTCGAAACGGTTTAGAACGTCTGAATAAAAATAAACAATTTGTTTGATGTTTGAAAAAATATACGATTCGTTCCTTCATATCTCTAGGAAGAAGTTAGTCTTTATTATTTATAAACGTATTTAAAAATTCTTTCTCTTTTTCATAAAGCTCCTATTTTCTCAACTAACACACAAAGAAAATTATTCACAGATTAAATTATCGTTCTACTGTCAAGAAAAACGATTACTCAGTTTATTTTTCTTTCTTCAAGTAATAGTTTTCTTTAACAAAGAATATATTTTTGATAATAGTCTTAAAATATACTCATCACAAGTGTTAGAAAATCTCATTATCATAAACTAAAAAAAAAATTTATTTTCTCTTCAAGAATGTTGTAAAGTTGTATCAAAGGAAAGTCAAACTTACTTTACGCCAACTTTATGTAGTAAGCAAATCAAATTTTTGTTTTAATTTAATATTCTTGACTAAAATACTGCACTTACTAAAATTCAGAATATATTCAATTAAATTTAATGCTTGTGATAAACTTATAATCTATTTGCGGATATACAAACTTATGATGTACTTAAAATAAATAATATTTACTTGAAGACAATATACATTTTTCTCTGTGCAGGTTGCGTAAAGAAAAAACGTGTATAAATACACATAAATATGTATACATAAGAAACAAGTAAACCTACGCTTATACCTTTGTTCTTTAAAATGTCTCTCGTTTAGGCTTACCTCTGGCAATTTTAGAACGTTACCGATGTTTATTAGGTACAGCATAGCGAGAAAGGTGTATACATACCTGCGCGTGTTCTCGCGTAAACAGTAAAGTAGGCTGTGCGCGAGAGCGTGAGGTGAGCGGGTGTAACCGGTTCCAACGCGATTTTTTCACGAAAAGTACTCGCGGAGCTTTATAAAATTGTACGTACCCTTTGTCGTCGTTGTCGTCGTCGTTGGACACCGCTATATGCGTGCTCATTCAAACGTTTAAATCGACCGAGCGCAATGTTTTGATGCTCGCGAAGATTCAAGGATCCGGAAGAAGTGGCTTTTTATCCGCATCATTTTTCAAATATTGAATTCCTCGAAGGACCGCAACATTCTCAATAACGTTTTAGAAGTCGAAAACTGTCGGAGAATAATCGTCTACGAAGAAATAATAGAATATTTTAGCATATTTATATACATGTATTGTATATATATTGAATATTTCTCAACATAAGTTATTGAAAAAATTATAAAAGATAAGTTTTCTAAGAAATTTCATAATGGAATTGGATAAGTCATGCACATACATTAATAATATTTGCATAAATATTGAAAGCAAAGAGCTCATAACAACTTGTAATTTTTTAATAAATTTAATGAAACTATATAAAATGTATAAATAATAAATCATAGTTAAGTCACGGAAGAGAGGATAATTTTAGAAAACTTTTTTTAATAACGTATACATTTTTTTTACTGGTACTAAAATTATACTTTGTTATGTTTGTAATGTGTAGGAAAAAACGGTATTAATTTAATGATATTAATAATTACGCATTATATTGCTGTTTATAAATATTTTAAATCTTTTAACGTTATTAATTAATCTATTAACTAAAATTAATTAATTATTGAGTATTTATAATTATAATATATTATTAAGTATAATATATTAATTGTAATATATTATTTCATAAGATAATTTTTTATTATGTATTTTCATAAAAAATTTATATAAACTAAAAGATCATAAATTTATGAAACTAATTATTTAGCAATTAATAATATGTTTAGTTTTGTTCTTGCTATTATAAATTTGTGAAAACTTGACTGAATCATTAGAGTAAAATCTGTTATTTAATGCTGTTAATATAAGTCGATTGAGCGATTACTAAATCATATTATGCAATAAGATATAATTGTATAATTCATTAGGATTTTTATCGAATCGAGCGAGCACAATAAATTTCTTTCGAATTCTATTGATATCGATGACGATTGGTAATACAACTATTCTCGGTTCAGTGAACATTAGATTTCGAATTTTTTTATTCAGTTGACTCGATGAAAGGTTTTGCACGCTCCATAGAACTTCGAATCAATAACGGAGATCCGGTGACATAATAATTGACAGCGAATTTCGTGAATGTTGTGTTTAGTTGTTTTCTAATAAAAAATTAACAGATATATTAGTTGTTTCGCTTTTTACAACATTTTGTATAATGTTTGATAGAATTAAATCAAATTTTATAACAAACAGTGTAAGGCAACATATTAAAATTTATATCTTTTTAATTAAATTTTTAAAAATACTATATATTACATCATTAATTAAATTTATAGGATATATGGAAAGTATTTGTATAAATAAAAAGGATGAAGCTACTAAAGTGGGATGCTTAATTGGATGTTTGATTTAATTTATTTTATTTTAATTAATCTTCTTTCAGCGCAAAATCGTTTGAAATCAATTATCTTTTAACACAGATATATATATAATTATTCATTTATTTATTTATCTTGAACAATTTTGTGCTAAAAAAAGATTAATTAGGAAAAAATAAATAAGTTAAATTATATAAATAAATAAATTTAAAATGAATAAATAAATTAATTAATTAAAAATAAAATCATTACAAAACATATCAAATCATATAGAGATCTTAGAAATAGAGCAAAACAAGCAGATAATACAACATTATAGATGAAAATTTCCGATTTCAAGCATAATTTAATTTTATTGATTACAAAACAAAAATTAATTTCCGATCCAGTTTTTTTATTCTTATTTATAATAAACAAATTAAATTAAATAAATTTATTCTTTATATATAAAGTTATCTTCTTAACATACAACGTAAAATATTGTTTTTTTTTTATCAAAGGAATATACTCATGATTCCATATTTTTATTTTTAACAGAAACGTCGTTTGTTAAACGGAGCATTAACAGAATATAAAGTATATACGCAATATCAATGGTATCCAATCTTTTGATGTTGTATTTAATAAATTGAATCGTTAGAGGTTTCGGACGAAGACGAAATATATAACACATAATCCACGATGATACTCGCAATATCCTGACACAGTAAAATAGCCGCGTTTACAGCTTCTAAAAAATAAAACAGAGTTCGCATTTACCACATTTTTCTTTTGTCACAAAATGTCCGATAGTCTCTGAAATATAATTCCGGTTATATTGTTGCAACATTATGTGTTCGTATTATAATAATATAATGTAACAATATGTGAATCCAATGTGTCCGTGTTATAATAATATAACAAGTTCTTTAACAAAGATAGAAGAATAAAATATTAAGTGTAATATCTTCACGAAAATATTTTTGAATTAATTATTGAGAAAAATCTCTTCAAAACTGCAGTTTTGTATACTTTTAAAGGCCTATGTATATTATTGTAACATATATAGTTTAACGTAATAACAATTTCTGGAAAGTATTTTATCTTATCAGTTGTGCGATGAGACTTAGAAAATTGAATAACGTTAAATATTCTTGCAAGATCTCAAGTGGACTATAATATATGTATATTGACGTCACAGAACTGAACTGTCAATAACGCATTTAAAATCTATGTAAGAATATCATATCAACGTTACATTGACGTGACGATGACGTATGTGCATCCACCTTTAGTGTAGCTCTATCCTTTTCATTTGTACAGATACTTTCTACGATGCACATGAGATGGGGTGAGATCTATCACATTGCGCATCACGTCGCGGATAACGAACATTGGACATGTCGTGCAACAAGCGATCGCGTAATTCGCGTGCTTTATTCATTCGACGTCTATCAAGAGAATAGTGAGCATCGAGAGCTTCGTATAAACTAGCAAGTGGTTATCGCATCGCATTAATTCCGATTTGCATTCGTGAGTGAATGAATGTGAAAACAAAGCGAGTGACAAGGACGGTGAATTGAGCGGGATCGCGGTAATTAATCTTTTTTTCTTTTTTTTTTTTTAACGGTGTTTCGTCGATTGATGAGTAGATGGTGTGAGTATTCGACAGGTGAACGTGCAAGCGAGTGTTCGAGGTAACGAAGATACCAACGATGGTTGTCGATTAGAAAAGGAGAGCGAACTCCGTTAAGCCTACCTCTATCTTTTTCGTTCGAACGTGACATTTTTCGCTCGCAAATCAGGTAAATCTTTGCTCTTGGTCTCTGTCGTACATTAACGCCCTCTTGGTAAAAAACGGTGAAAACAAGAAGCGACAAGCCAATTTTAAGTTTGAATGATAACAGGACAAATGTAGCTTTATCCAAGCAGATACTCGTATCGACGATCGGTTATATCAAGAATCTTCATTTGCCTTAGGACTTGTCGAGACTTGATAATTAATTTTATTCTTTTTTTTTTCTTTTATTATGTAACTTGTATACAATCCCCTAAAATTCTGCACTAGATTTGATTAATGCGCTTTGTCTTTTGAATGATTTTTTTATTGCCTCGTGAATTCAATTTAATTCGATTTTATTGAAATATTTGCAAGCGTATATATTATGCTTATATGTAGTATATATTACGCAATATAATTAGTATAATTTTTCTTACCTTTATTCGACTTTATTGTAGGTCTTTAATATATTTCGATAATTGCGAAAACATTTAGTGCATACCGCTATTTAGAGATATAGACATAAAGTAAATAAAATTTGAAAGTGCTACAATGTAATAAAAATACATACAATGTCAAAAATGAAGCACAAGTAATTTTCATAAAAATATTACTAATTTTATTTTAAATTTTAAATTAATTTAGTTTAAATTTTAAATATTCTAATTGTAATAAATTATTTCTAATTTTAATTATATTAAAGAAAATGTAAGGGTATATTTTAAGTCTTAAATTACGAAATATAAAACAATTATATTATACTAAAATTAAAAAATAATTTTCTACACATAAGATGATATATGTCATTTCATATTCATTTCAAATGTAAATTTTGCGCAGCAGCAATTATTTGGCATTTTTGCAATTCCATTTTCTGTTCTTTCAACTTGAGAAGTTGTTTCTTCAACTCTAATTCTTGATGTCTCATGGCCATTTTTTCCTTGTGCCGCCTCTCTTTATTCTTCTCGGCCATAGCGAAATTCTTTTCCATTCTTTCGGCAAACTTTTCAAATAATGTCGTTAAAATTTCTTTATAATCTAATGTCTCCTCGCTTTTTTCATTCGTAGCTTTCTCCGCCAAAGAATCTTCGTGTTGTTGATTGACAGACAAGTTGTTGCCTTGATCAAAACCACGTTTCAATAAAACTAAGGGATATTTTGCCGATCCACTCGCCGGCTGCAGGTCGTTCCTTTCCAGATACACGTATTTCTTCTTCTCGTTGAAAATCTCGTCCAAGGCGCGTTTGTGTTCCCACTGTCCATAATGTCTCATTCTGCCGGGTTTTTTTAGTCGTTCACGGTATACAAGGTTTTTGTACTTGCGTTCCAGGACTCGCCATTTATTTTCGCATTTTTGTGGACTAAAGTAGAAACCGTACTTCTGCATCTGCAGAGATATCATTTCAAACATCTCTCGCAGACTCCTGATTTGTGTCGATTGTCCGACCATCGATCGATATTTTTTGTACTGATCAATCAGACATGTGGTGGCTTTGCTGGTCCATAGATTTAACGTTATGTCGATATTTGACGGTATCGCGTTGACGTTCTCGAAATCGGAAAATCTATCCTTATGCTGCTCCTCGATGTAACATTGAAAAGTTGGCTCCTCTATCTTGATTTCTACATCATCGTTCTCTGTCAGAAATGATTAAAAAACATTATATGCGCCAAAAAGACATGATATATTAATATTTGAACATTCATAATATTAATTAATTGCCGATAAATATTCTCAAAACACAATTATGCATACATCTAGATATGACGTGTTGGATTCGAAAATTTTTAAACCGGAAGTGAAAGCATTTCTGACGCTTTCTGCAAGTTATATTTTAATATTCAAAATCTTCCGTTCTTTTCATCGACAAATCATTGCGCGCGCAACATGGATTTTATTCGATTCAAATTTTCCCGCGTTACGGCGATTAAACGTGACTTGTCTACATCCGACATCTTCGAAAATGCAGGTCGACGAAAGCGACAAGCATGTTCACGGATCGTTCGAAAAGCTCAACCAAAATCAAAAGTAATTTTCTTACCTTGTTGCGTCTCATTATCAGCCATAATAGACGGAAATTTGACGTTACGATGACACCGAGCAGTCCGATCGGAGTATTATTCGCGCCTACCAACGTCCCGCACTGCTCTCGTGGGGGACCGAAAAACCGAAGGAAACTAGTTCCAAACCGGCCTCGACGTGGAACTGGTTCCGTACGCGTCACAAACCGACGACGGCCATGTTTTGCCCCCTCGTCCCGTACCTCGCGCGACGAACATCTGCGCGATGCGGTGATCCCCGCGCGAAACCATCGATCCTCGAGTTTCGAACGCATTCCGAACCGCAATCGGGAACGCTCCCGGTTGCAAAGCTCGATTACGATTCGATTCGCAGAGATTACACATGGTCGTGTATATTGCGCATAGACAGATACGAGCGGTTTACGCAAACCGTTCGTCGAGACTGTTTCGCGTCAAATGAAAACCTGTTGTCGAGCCGACTAGTTTTTAAGGCGAACATGTTCGGCGGGGATACTTTCTAATAGAAATTAGAACATGGAGTAACGCGGCTCCGTAATTCTTTGAATTTTCCGAGTTATATTTATCTAATGGAAAGATTGTTATCAGTTCATAAACATGTATGTGTGATTGTATTTTTATTTCTAAGTGTTCAGTGTGGGATCTTAATTTTGATAAAAATTATTGAGATAAAAATTGATGCTTACTGAGATAAAAATATTTCTTATCAGTAGAAAAGGAGATAACGCGACTCATAGAAAATTAGATATGCGACTCAATTATATAATTATCGCAAATTAAGAATGATATACTATTTTCTGAATTAATAAATCTTTTTTTAATTTGTATATTGTTGATTTTAATGTTTACTGTCATTAAATTTTTACCATTAACATAGAGATTTTTCAAATATTGCAATTAGATATAAAAAACTTAGGATATAAATAAAGTATAGCTTGATCCATTTCCGCTCTTTATAAAATGATACATCATTTCAAATTAGACATGTAATCTAGAGCAAGTTGATCTATTCAAAATGTCAATTTTACTGTTGCTTCTTTATAAACAATATTTTTAAATTATGCGTTACATGTTTATTAAAATTTTTACAAGAAAATACATGTACTTTCTCTCACAAGAATATATAAACTCTATTGTAACTTCTTTGTACAATCTAAATATTAATTTACAGATATATCTGCTGTTATTAGAATTTTCTCATCAGTTTTAACATTTTAAATTAATTTAATTCTGAAAGTCTAACATAAGTAATTCCTCGCTTATGCACTTCATTATGTAATGCTTTCATAAAACTCGTGATGCAATCAAATGAGAGTCATTACTTACGTTAACTAGCAATTCAACAGAGACGAAGATTCTTTAGATTTTTAATAAAAATATAACTAATTGAAGATGAAGAATCTTGCAATATCTTTATATCTCTCACATGTGTGAAATCAATCGTGTATCGATATTTCTATTTCGGTTGAAAATGTTCGCCCGGAAGACGCGTTAACGAGTTTTTTATGGGTATAAAGTGATTTTACCTCAACACGTTCGGAAAAAACGCATAACTGCGGTATATAAACAATTTACGTGACGTATGGATGCATAAGAACGCGCGTACCGTTCGCGGTTTACGATACTTTTATATCGTGTCGAGAGAGGAATGAAGCGGGATTCCCTGTATCGGTGCAGCCAGAAACACACAGAACAGGGAAAATAAATATCTAGCATTTCTTAACAATAATTCTATCGGTTAATTTGAATTAATAATTAAATAACATTGTAGAATATATTTTATTATTATATATTTCTCGATGAGAAAATTTCATCTTTGACAGTTAAAACTTTTGGATTAGTTAACGTTTATTTATTATAATTTTTCTTTTATCTTTTTTATTTAAGAAAAGTTGCAGTTACAGTTTGTAATTACATTTCGATATTTTGTAATTAATTTATAATTTATAATAAATTGAATTATCTCTTTCATTTTTTCTGTAATTTATGTAAAACTTTAATTTTTAAAACTTTTTGATGACTTTATTTTTAAACTAATCTTATATTTTAATTATATATATATATATATATATATATATATATATATATATATAAAATAAATCGAAAAATATTGTAATGTATTATGTTTTCTGGATCGTGACATATATTGGTCAATGATATGTAATAATTATTTTCTTAATAAAACGCAGCATCTGATACATCTCGGCTGTGCAATACTTCTGGCGCAGCGTAATTTAATACTAAAACGTATAATCATATTTTTATCCGTGCAATAGCAGCAACCGTTGTGTTTCCTTACGTAAGCGAGATTAAGAATACAGATTACGCGAAAAATAATCAGTATAAAAAAACGATTAAATCATGTAAGACGAGCAAGTAATCACGGACGATGTTACGACAAGCCATGGATAATGACATCAAGACGAACCTTTCCCTGCTTTTATCGATAATTATGCACTACTTTAATATCCTTCGGACAATTGTCGAACTGACAATGAGTACAGAACTCTCTGCGTGTACAGCACTAAGGAAGAGAGTCATGTGACGTTAATATTGACAGTTAGATATAACCATAAGGCAGAACGAATTGTAACTCGCATGAAAGCTGAAATACTGATTAAAATGATAAAAAGTTATTATTTTCATAAATATATAAATATATGTACATTCGTATTTTTATTTAAATTTATTTAATTAAAATAATAAAAATTTGCAAATTTAATTTATTTTATTTAAATTTGCAAAGTTTTTTAATTTTTTATTCGACATTCTACATATATTATTTAAATGTTTAATAATAATAATTAATAATAAATAAAATTTTCTTAGAAAAGAATAGATTTTAAATGTAAGTTTAAATCAAAGTTTTCAAAAAAAAAATATGATTAAATCACTACATTTTGTACCCCAAAAACATTTGTTTTGAAATGCATGTATACTTGAAGTTTTATGTATAAGTACAATTTTTTAAATATTTTAATTATTAATTTAATATAATTTTAATTAATTTTATTCAATAAAATATTCAATAAACGGGATTCAATATAGCAATTTTGTGTTCACTTAATAATTATATCTTGGCCAAGTATAACTCTTTAACTGATATTATGTTATTACGCGATTATGGAAAGGCATCAATCCTGATATAAACTATGCGCCGATTTACTTTCCCTTTGAGTATATCGAATACCTTTTGAACTTTAGATGAATATTAAACGTGTTATGATAATTTCAATTCTCACTCTTAAAATAAGTACAGAAATCAGACAGAAACTGTACGTAAAAGAAACAGGATCTTCAAAACAGAATATTTTACAATATTAAATTTTATTATTTTATACATCAGATTAGAAATTTACATTGATGTTCGCATTTACTTCGATAGGTTTTGCAATTTAAATTTCTTTAACATTATTTTTTAATACTAAACTGTAACTAAATTGTAACTTTGATATAATAAAATGTTAAAATATGTAAAATTAATACATAAATTTGGGCGCACTTGACACCAATAGAAATGAAGCAAGAATTTGATAAAAAGAAACAAATTTTTCATAAAAACTTGAAGATTGCAGTTATCGTAGCCGCAATTGTGTAGCTGCTCCAGGAAATTTATCGAGAGCTGGAGGAACAATATAGCGATCTCTATCGCGTCGTGTATTCTCGCGGAGCGTGAACGCATGGTGCGTTGTACGTTTCAGCGTGTGCATTATTGCAAATAAACTTTGTCATGATTGCGAGTGCCGACAGCGCAGGAAGCAGTCCATTTCGCGCGAGTCGTCTAGGGCAGAGCGCATGTAAATTACGGGAAGGAAGGGACGGTATAATAACACCTACGCGCGGATGTGTAATGTGTAGTCCGCGATGGACGCAGAAAGCAGATCGGAAAAGACAAAAGCTGTATCAGCTCTCAGCCTTCCGGCAGAGGAAATAATTCCAAGGTAACGAAAAAGATAAACGATCGGTCACATAAATCAAACGAGCGCTAATTTAGGAGGCAAAATTTACAAACTGTCACGCGTTGTTTAAGAGTTATATTTAGTAAGAATCTTGTTTAACGTTACAACTAGATTTGTTTTCAATCGTGAAGATTTCTTCCCTATGAGCGGGCGCTATAGAAAGGAGAAATACAAGAAAGTTTTGGATTTTGGGTCGTCGGAGTGATCGTCAATTTTAATTACCTTGATCGAATGTATAAATTAATGAGGTGACAGGCAGGAAATTTCTAAATGTTAGCAAAATTTTATTTCGGGTAAAAACTACTGTATCTACGATTTCATTATTATTATTCACTATTATTATTATTAGTTTTTCTTATTTATTACATAAATAAAATGAATTATTTGATACATAAACACGAAGGAGTAATCGAAATCTGTTTGTACATACGTCTATCGCGAGGGTATAACGAGTCAACCCTTAAAACCACGAGGTGTATGGTCGCCGCGGCAACCCTAAGTTTCGATTTTTCGCCCGCTCGTCATGTGCTCGATAGGAGCGCCTCCGTCGTTCGCCAGAGTAATGTCACGGAGTGGTTGAACGCGACCGGGGAAAGGGACGAAGAGGGACGAAGAGGGAGAGAGCGGGACCCGTCCGTGGGAGCGAGAAGGGGCGCGCCGCAGGAGGGACGGGAGGGGCTGCTGCGCGCGCGAGAGAGAGGCGATCTTCGGCGAACGACGGTGGCGGGATCGCGGGGCAGATGGTAGCGCGAGAACACGGGCGCTGCTTTCGTTCGCCTTTCGTCGGCGAGGGGTTTTGTGTACGCGAGCGCGCGCGCGATACTTTCGATTTCGTCGAGTGGGCCGGCCTCTCGCGGAGAGCCGCACTCCAGGAGGCGAGCATGCCAGTAGTCGACGCGCGCTAGAGCGACGGCGTGTGTTTATCGCGCTCGCAACGTCGACAGCGGGTCGACGCCGTCGTACGGTTAGAGCTGTCACGGTGACGTGCGACGCGCGACGCGTGCGAAGGAGGCTCGTTATCGCGGCACAGGTGTCTCGCGATTTACGTCAATTGCTCGCGACAGGTGGACATTCCTTCGGAGCGACGGAGATCTCTCGGCGGAAGCGAGACGGAGGGAATGGAGATACGTGGATTTTCGCCCGAAGCTAACAGGATCTCTTCGTGGCGGTCGGACCGAAGGACACCGAGATCGACGAGAAGCATGTAGATATCACCCGGGGAACGTAATCTCGACTCCCGTCACCGCCTACCTCTTTTCCTAGCGAGTCTCGGGTGTGCTCGCGCGCGCGCGCGCGTGCTTTGACCGTATGCTCGGCGTGTCATCGATTTTTCGGCGATTGTGTGCAACTCGCGTCGCCGGTAGAGAATTCGCCAACAGGATTATGAAGAGGATTAAGAGCCGCGCGTAAGGAGACCTACGTGCGTGCGTACGTCCGCGCGAGCGAGCGAACGCACGTCGTGCCGCGAAAGGCGAGAACGAAAAGAGAGAAAGCGACGGGGAAAAAGGCTAGAGAGAGAGAGAGAGGAGCCATCGACAACGCGCGTCCAACATGGCTACCACCGGCAGCAACGCGAACGCCGGCAACGAGGCGGCGAACGGTAGCAGCAACGTGCCGCAGTGGAAACGCGACCTGATACAACGTCGTCGTCAACAGAGCAAGGTCCTCGCCAACAACGGCGCGAGCGTGAAATTATGTAGCGCGGTAATCGGCACGTCGGCGAGCGCGGACGGGGTCGTGGAGCAGAACGCGCCAAGCGTCCAGGAACATTGCTCGGTCGCCGGCACGCTCCGGATGGCGCAACGTTTGACAACAACGAGCAGCGAGGACACCGGGACGACCGTCGCGGTTTGCGGCGGCGGCGGGGGTGGGGGTGGGGGTGGGGGTATCGGGGATAATGCCAGTGGCGCGCTGCTCTCCCCCCCCTCCTCGTATTCCGCGAGAAGGCCGCCGATCAGTGGCGCCGCCGGCGGAGCAGCGGCGACAGCTGCCGACTTCGCGTCAGTCGCGTACAACATGCGTCTCGAGGCGGACCTGTCGCTCTGCTCGGACGCGGAGGATGTTGTGAACGGCGCGCCGACCAAGTTCGCGATGGACGAGCGGAAATTCTCGGATTACGCCGGGGACGAGAACGAGGAGGCGGCGAGAGCGATCGCGAGGATGGGGAACGAGGGGAACGAGGCGCCGCAGCGCGCGGTCGTAACCGGGCGCGGGAAGGACGCTCTTGGCGGAAACGCGAGGACGTTGAAGGAGTTGCCGCCGACGAGCGATCGCCGCCACGTGTCCGGGGAGGACGCGGAGAGCGATAGCTCTGAGGAACTGCAGTACGGACCGGGAATCGTGAACAAGCTCAAGAGCAAGTATCTTAACCTAACCCTGCGCGAAACGACCAAGAGCCGCGCGTCGGTGCAGCGATTCCGGCGAGCGGCCAGTCTCGAGGACCTGCTGGATCGCGACGACGACGAGGCGTCCGGTCACGAGAAGCAGCCCGCTATCGGTAGGAGATACGCGAAGCGCGAGGCCGGCTCGACGAGCGGCGACGGTGTCGTCGCTCCCAAGACCGACAGGTACCGAAATGCCACCCGGGGCAACGACTCGATGAAGCGGGCGCGGAGCGTCGAGACCTTGATGAGGTACAACAGCGTGACGACGGATGAGCCGATTATGCGGCAGCTTGTTCCGGTTGCTCGACCGGCAACCAACGGCGTGCGCCAGGAGCCGGTCAATGACCACATTATTCTCGTGGATCGCACGTCCGTGAAGATTGAAAGTCGTCTGGGCGAGCTCGAGCGGCCCAAGCCGGTCAACAAGCCCAAGAGGATCAAGCCGGTGCTGGCGGAAACGGAACGACCGCCTCCCGATCTAGTCAAGACCACGATGAGGATCTTCGAAAGCTCCGCGAAGAAGGTGAAGCCCAAGGGCGAGGTCGCCGCGAAGGTCGCCACTTTCAAGACCATCAACGACACGTTCAAGGCGCAGAAGAAGCTGATGCCGAAGCCGCCGATACAGCCCAAGCCCTTCGTCAACGGCGGCGCTCGCCCCGGTTCCGGGGGCCTCGGCTCCCCGAAGAAGATTATGTTACACAAACCGACGGCGAAGTTGATCGAGACGCAGGACGGCAAGGAGGAGTATCGCATAGATGGCATCATCACGGAACCGATCGCGCAATCAGTGTCCTCGGTGGTGAGCAAGTTCCAGCAGATCGAAAAATCGCATTCGCCCTCGCCGTCCCCGGAACCCTCGTGTTACAAGTTCAAGTTCTCGCCGGCCAACAGCCCCGAACCGCCGCAGATGTGCAAGCAGATGCCCAAGTCGGTCGCTCTCGAGATCGTTGTCAAATCGCCGCCGGTCACCCCGGTACTTTCGCCGAGGATCCCGTCACCCAGACTGCAGAGCCCGCCATCGCCGATCAAGGACGTCAGGCAGGGCTCGCAGAGTCCCTCCTCTCCCGTCAAAGACTCGATCCGAATTCAGATCTTGAATCCGTTCCACAAACCGCCACTGCCGAGCCCCGTCAGGGAACCCTCCAAGACCTCGGAACCGGAATCGTTTCAAGTTCCTCGCTCGCAGATCGAGGAGCCTTCGAGGACGAACGTCGAGAGTCCAGAATCACCCATCAAAGCGGAACGAAAAGAAGACGCGAAATCGAGTCGCGTTACGTCCAACGACGATGAGGAAGAGGAGGTCGTCGACGGGCCGAGAACCATCTCCAAGCTCGCCCTGGACAACATCGGCAGAGCCGGCATAACGATGCAGTTCAACTTTGGCGACAAGTCCGTGACCGACAAAAGTTATCTACCGGGTGTGAAGCAAAACGGACAGAGATCGGAAGACGATCGTTGCGCGAAAACAGAGTCCAGAAACAAGACGATCGTTCCGTCCGATGCACCCGCCGGCCTGGTGATGACCTCCGAGACGACGTACAGATTGCAAGAGAGACTCGGATCCGAGAAGCTCGACGACAAGGAGGACGAGCTGAAGCTGATCGAGGAGAAGCTGATCGTGCCGGAGAGCAAACCCATCGGCGCCATTTGCAGTCTGGGCTTGATCAAGACCGCGACCACGACGACGGCGTATCCGCAGAGCAACAACGAGGCGAAGACGATAAGATGCCAGCAGAAGAGCGAGTTCTCGCTGCCCCAGAAGCAGATCGGCATCATACGGCCGCTCGTCTCGACGCAGAAGACGCAGCATCCGCAGCAGAACCTGAGTAATCGCGAACTCGAGAAGAACCTGATCAATCGGGTCAAGAGTATCGAGCAGCCGACCAAGGTGGTAGTGAGCCTGAAGAGCGCCGATGAGATACAGCCGACGAAGAAGACGAATGCGGGAGGCGGCGGCGGACTCTGGGATACGAAGCCATGGAACCAGCAAAACAATACGATGGTGTTCAACTTTAGCAACCGAAAAGACGTGCCGGATTACATCGAGAATGATGGTCTCATCATCAGGAGAAAGCGGGAGAAGCCGAAGGTGAGTCATTAATTGCAATCTTTCCGAAAATGTAAGGAATGTGTCGAGTACTCGCTTCGACTTGGCCGACATTTACAACACGGGTGAATTTTTATCGCTTAGAAGGCTCATCTCTTCTTCCTGGTATAAAACCGCGTGGAATATCTCTTTTTGTCCAAGTTGGGTGAGAGAACGCTTCGTATGTAAATGCGGAAATAATACTTAATTAACCAATGTTTTCATTAGTATAAATAAGTTGGAGCAAATCAGAAATATAATATTAAGTTTGTTATTTACGGTTTTCCGGGATATATGAATAATTCATTTTTACTGAATTAATATTCGTAAGATAATTATCTCACTCATTGAAAGATTAACCAAAAATAAAAGCTGTAATATCTTTGTATTTTTACAAATAATTACACTTTCTCTCTGCAGACATTTATTTCTGAAAAAAATGTAAAAATCACATATTACAAATCATAACTAAAAGAAACAATAATTGAAAATATGTTTCTATCTTCTTTCTACATAAATTATATAGATGGAATAATTTATACAGAAAAATCATTATGTCATGCAGTCAATCAATTTAATAAAATTTATTTCGATAGAAAAATAACATTATATTTTTAACAACAAGTTTTCTCGATCACATTAAAGCTTAAAAAATTAATTTTTAAAATTACATTTATGACGTGGTATTTCATTTATGATTATAATTATATTAATACGGCAATAATTTAATTAAACTTTATTAAGGAAATATCTCGCATGGAACATATTTTGCACGAATCAAGTTAGCATAAGGTAACAAAAACTGGCAGCGCGAATAATTTTATTAATACCGTAATGAGATATACTTACAAGTTTTTTTCTCCCGTTTAACATTTTTCTTCTACAGGAGAGCTAATATTCATTAAGTCAAATTCGTTAAATCGCTTGTTATCTCCGCCGAGGAAGATGCAACGGTCGATACAGTTCGATAGAAATCTAGAAGTACCGACAACTTTCTTTTCGCATGCGTAAGATAGTTCGGTTATTTCACTTTCTTTAATACGTCGGACACAAAAGAGTCGCTCACGACAAAGATGTTTGCACCTACAGTATCAACTCTCTGTGGAATTTCAATTGATTTTAAATATTCCAAACACGCGCACACTTCAAGCACGTCTCTCACGTTTGCTGCTCCTGTCTAAGTATTCTATATAATGACGTTAAAATATTTTTTTAACAAACCAATTAACAATTGTCCAAGCCATAGCAATTTGGAATTACAAGTATGAGAATTAATTTTTTTTTAGACAATTTTTATAAATTAAGAAGAAGGTAAATAGATTATTTCTCATTAAACTTTAATTGAATAGAATTTTAATTTGTAGATGAATTAAATGAAAATGTTTAGAGTTGCGAAAAGCTCGAAGCTAATCAAAGTTCACGGTCGAAAGGAAACGCGAGGAAATCACGTGACATCCTCCGTGACTTATTCGGCCTCGATTTTGCGTCTCGCTCGCGCCAACGAGCTGCGAGAATCCTCGTTAAACCATTGTACAACACGTGTAACGGTGTCGTCGCGTGCCCTAAACCTAGCTGTAGCTAACACTATTGTCCGCACTTAAACAATTGTGTTTAGATGAATTAGTTGCCGCTGTCGGGAGGATTTTGAGATACGCGTTAATTTAGTAGCTTCCAATCATGGAGTTTATTGACTTTATTGCGATGGTTTTCTTTGACGGGATGACAAAAATAATCTTCTCATTGTATACATACACTGTTTACTCATAAATTCGGATAAGTATCAGCAAAAGATCCGGCAGAATGAAACTTGTTTATTATATCATCCAGCTCGAAAGAATAACAGCTGGTAAATTATATAGCTACATAATCCATTTAATCTATTATTATCTGCTCGTATTTAATTATAGAAAAATTTTAAAAATTTAAAAAAGCTCAGCTGATCAAAATCTCGGAAATAATATTTTATCATTAGTTTATAATTCTTGTAATTAAATTTCAATTATTATATTTTAAATGAGATTATGTAAATGAGATTGTCGTATATGCTTTCCGTAAAATGTTCCATATTTTTCACGTGATGAGATCAATTTGATTTTACTTTAAATTGACAAAATATCGACTTTTGTATTGATAAGGACTTTTAATACGCAAAAAAAAAACGCTCGAGTACGCCGTCAAGTAAGATCAGATTATTCGATCAGATATCAATGAGCATTGTATTAATTTTCAAAGCGCGATATGAAATAATTATCTGCGCAAAGTAAAATCGAAATCGTTCCGAAATCTCGCGCGGCGCTTTCTAAAATGTTGGACGTAAAATCTGTCTCGCTCGAATGCAGGTGTTCGCTCGTTTCCAGGCTTCTCGTAAAACGCATCATCGCACCTTCGCGGTGAACTCAAGTGAAACCGAAGAAGCCGTCCGACATTCAATGGAAAATGAGAGAAATTAGGCGCATGATCGGCGTGATTTATCCGAGGGTCGTTACTTTCCCGTATTAGATAATCCGGAAGTACGCGAGTAACGATTATTCTCGGTGATAATCAAAGATTCTAACGTTTAATCTGTACGTTTTTAATGCACGTTTAGAACGAGAGCATTTAATAGCCGCGTCTCACGCAAACTTGATATATGTACTGGTTAATAATGTCTGTTTTTCTCATCAGGAAATTTATTAATTATTGTAATGAGCAACATCAGAAGAAAATTAATTTTCAATTTTAAAGAGATATGACGAGTATTTCTCAGACAAGTTCAATTTTTTTGCGAATTTAAACCTTGTCTCCACTAGATTATTTTCGCAAAATAATGATGAAATCGATTTCGACAACTTTAAAGCCTTACGATAAAGCTTTACGATATCTTGTTGATTATTTTTCCTTTTATTTTTAAAAAATACGTTTTATCGATACTTGATGTGTTATCATATTAATTATCATAATGAATTACTGTGTATATGACATTGAAATGTTTTAAATCTTCGAGGACTGTCGAGGATTCTGTTGTTTTTTTCGTTTTTAACAGACTATGAAAAAAGCTCATGGATTTCATGTTCAAAATTTAGATATACATCTGGGATTGTTAAAATTAGAGCTAAATATAGCAATATATTTATATGCGTTTTAGGATTTAGCATAAATCATTTTTTTAAAAATCAAATATGAATATTAGAATATATAGGCAATTATTATTTTTATTTGATTATTATAGGGCATTTTATTTTATTGCGATTAGTGAATATTAGAAACGATGTTTTTTTTTACAAACTAATGAATTAAAAATTCAAAAATTGACGAATTAATTACAAATAATATAGTAAAAATAAACTTTAATAAAAATCTTTTATTTTCACAGTTTTTAAATAATTAATTTCAAATTGGCCATAGTCTTATATCTTTTATACTCGTGAAAATATGCGATGGCGTAAATACTTTGTATAATAATATGATGAGGATTTTTTATTGATTCAATTATTTTAAATTTTTTAATCTTGAATTTTTAATTCAATTTGACAACTAATTATTAATCAATTATATATTCCACCAAAATTTCATTAAATGTTAACATTAAATTCATTTTCATTAAATGCTTATAAATAAATCAATCAATATGAAGTAAGATAAGAATGTGTAAGAACGCAGTAAAAGCATTTTCTAACTTTTGACGACCGCAAACATGGTTATGGTAAATTAGAATCGTGATTAGTGTCTCCTGGATATGATTTACGTTATTTAATATTCATTTGTGAAATGATATATCCCTGCCTTATCTAATGAGAGCGGAATACCGAATAATATTATGGACAAAGGAATTCGCGTGTACACAAAGCACGATTGCCGTTTACAACCGCGAGGGCTTTCTTGTGTACAATTTTCATTTTCATGCGCGTGCACAATTTTCATATTTTATTTACAAAATTACTTCTGCTCCATCTAATCGACGTAACGGTGTAAATGCTGAAAAAGAATATCCTTTCCCGACTCGCGGCCTGAACATAAAGCAATCGTTTAACGAACTAGAAACTGGAATGCGCATTAGAGTGGCGTAATCTTCGTCAGCTTGCACAAAAGTTCGTGGGAGATTGTGAAGAATGCGTGTTTATCCGCGTTATTTGTCCAAACAAAAAATATGTTTTAAACTTTCAATATTAACGACTGGATAAAAGCAGTGTACATGAGATACAATAAAATACGACTTGTATCAAAACTGGCTTCTCGCTTTTTATTAATATTTTACGATATTTTCGAGAGCCACATTTGCCGTTTTCTGTGACGTAATATAGATTATACAATGATAATCTTGCATGTGCAACGTAGAAAATTTTTCAACCGTGTGTTTACCTAAAGAGTTTGACGAGCAAAAGAAGTCTTGATTGCCTTTAAGGCTTGCATGAATAAAAAGAGGCTTTAAAATTCTAAAAGCAACCTTGTTGATAAAGTTAGGCCTTAAAGACTGTATGTAAATCATTTTTTATTATACATAACTCTTATGATTTCACGCACACAACTTTTCCTGGACAAAATTAACGCATAATTTTTTTTTTACTTTTTCTTTAAAACTTTTTGTTAAAATTTAAATATCAGCTTTCAAAGAAAAAGTTAAAAAAAATTATGCGTTAATTTTGCCCCGGAGTATATAATGTTTTATTTTTTTTACAATGCAAATTTATAAGATATTTCGAGTTAATATCGAGTTTAGCATCGAGTCAAAATAACATTAAGAGTTAAATACATGAAAAGTCGACATAAGATTTTTGCCGCAATTATAATAAAATTTAATTAGATTTGATCGCTGATATGCAGAGGGATATAATTATGCAGTTTTAATGACATCGTTGGTCGCAACAAATCCGGTTTTATGAGATGGCAAGAATGTATATTGGTATGTGCAGAAACGCTGTTCGTGTAAACATCACGAAGCAAAATTTTTGCGAAGCTAATTCGATTCGCGACGTATACGTACATGTCAAGAGTGCACAGTTGTAACGCAAAGTTTACTTTGTGTT